CAAAAACGTTACAACAAATTGATCTTCTATTAGCAACAAAAAAGAAGTTGAATTTTGTAGTCAAATATATTATTGGCTTACTTTATTTTTATTGATCCTGTATTTAGGTCGAAAGGAATAAAGGTGGAGAAAAGGAGGAGAGATGAGAATAATTATATTCTTCCATTTCCGTTTTTTTATTGAGATAAATAATTAAATTTTAAAAAATAAAACAAAGAAAATTTGTTCCTTTCATTCTCTTCAAATTTTTTTAATAATTAAATAAAACTTTTTATTTCCTTCTTTTTCCTCCCTTCTCATCCCCTCTATTCTTCTCAATTCAAACTTATGTAAGTGTTTTGTCTCTAAATTACTTTTGCAAGCCGAAGAGTAAGCATCTTTATTTAAATAATTTTAAAAGTTAGGTGAAAAATCTTCCACGTAACAAAATTATGCATAAGATTTCTTATGTCATGTCATTATGATTATAAAAAAAAACAAAGGGAAAACTTTTAATTAAATAAAAAACAAGATTAGAGTGACAGGCCTGCAGTAGATCAAGAAATACGACTACTATGAAAATGAAATTTAAAATAAAATAAACGGTGAGTGGGATGAGGAATTTTCACATGGGAAAGTGGTTTACCAACGTGCCCCATCAATTAAATTAATAAAAGTACTAAACATAAGGAGGGAAAACGTGCCTCAATAATTAATCTTATCCTTTATGTTTCTATAGCTTTCATAAATTTAGTTATCTCATTTATTCAATTTAAATGTTTTAATTTAGTTATTTTATTTATGTGAAACATTAAATGTTATTATTTAAATTTTATTTTTTTAGTATGTCAGTCTATTTATAAAAATGATAAAATCTTTTATTTAAAATAAAATTTCCATTTTAACATACAATTAATTAAAAAAGTAAGAGAAATAAATTGTTATGGATGGAGTATTAAATAACATAACCTTATTTTACTATTTATCTTACATGAACTACAAAATAATTAATTATTACTGAAAAAATAATTTGTAATATTAAAGTATTTACCTCTCTTATTATAATTAAGTAAAAAATAATATGCATAATATAAAATGCACTTCACACTTTTTTTTTGTTAAATAATTATGGAGATAGTTATCTTATATATTAATAGTACTATACATGCGAATGGAAGCACTTACGTATCAGATGCGAGGGAAATGTGCCAATGACCATGCTCCCTTTCGTCAAAAATTCAAGTTACAATTGTAGTATTATTATTCGATCCTTTAATTTCAAACTTAATAAATGGTATAACTGCATTTATTTTTTCAAGTCAACTGACATCTTATCAATTTGAGGTGTAGTCTTCCTCTTTCATGAGCGGACTTCAGATTCGTTTCTTGATAACTTGTTCAAAAAAAAATGTATAACTATAATATTGTATAAAATTATAATTTTATAATTTTATATAATATTTAATGAAATTTTATATAATATTAAATAAATATACAATATTATAAGTAAATTATTAAATAAAAAATTAATTATATAAAAATAAATTATATTATATATTTATAATATTATGCATCATTATAATTATAATATTTTAAATATATATAAAAAGGTCAATAATTTAAATAAATTAATTGTTATTTTTTTCATTAAAAATAAATTTTAAATTTAAATAATATAATATAATATATCAATAAAATAAAATAAAAAATAACAATCTTTTGTCATGAAATTAAAATTAAAAAATATATATATATATATTCAACAGACGAAAAGACAAAAGACGAGATTAACAGTCAGATTGTGGGAAGTGACGACAGCCTATACGTAAGCGTCCCTTGTTTTTGGGTAAAATTTATATATATATATATATATTCAACAGACGAAAAGACAAAAGACGAGATTAACAGTCAGATTGTGGGAAGTGACGACAGCCTATACGTAAGCGTCCCTTGTTTTTGGGTAAAATTGGAAGGCGAAATAGGTTTATGAGCCCTCAATCTCATCTTTTGTGAATTATATGTCCTTGAACTTTATTTTTTGGAAAAATAGACCCTCAAACTTGTCCATCGCCGAATGACGTCATCTTTTTTGGTTAAAATTTAACGGAGCTTGTGTTTTGTGGTCCCTTATATGACCTGGACATGATGTGGCCATCAAGAAGGCTGATGTGCACATCACATGGCACTAAAAATAAATTTTAATTTTAACTGACATCAACCCCACGTCATATCTTTCTCAGCGATGGGGCTCTCATAAACCAAGGATGGTTAGTTTTGGAAGGAAAATGAGTGACTTCCACCACTTTACAGTCAAAGCCTGATCTTCCCAAGAAAAAGTTCAGGGTGCAAAAATCTACAAAAGAAGAGTTTGAGGACTGATAGGCCCTTTTTCGCCAAATTTGAAAACATCCGATTGGCTTCGGGAAAAATTGGGTTGACGATTAATTGGGGAATGGATACGGCGATCTTTTGTCTAAGCTTGTTCGTGAAAACTGAAAGGAAGCAAACAAATGTGACAAGGGACCGCGGCTGGCTTTTATGATTACCTGAAAAATCTGATTGGACCACCGACCATATCATCGACTCACATCTATTTTAGTACATAAGCCCTACTTTTTTTTAACTCTCCATGACTATTCTCTTCCCCGCTCTTGTTCGTTCGCCATCATCTTATCATTACTCTGCCATGTTGGTGTTGTTGTTGTTTTTTTTTTTTTTTACTTGGTATCCGAGGTTTCACCTCGATCAATTTAGATTCGATCCATGTTACGTACTTAAAAATGGTGGGTGAATCTTTTAGTGAGAGCTGTTGCGTACTCAACATCTTGAACTCGAAACTTTATTTAAGTTAGAACAAGCCGCTTACCATTTAATTCAACCCCTCGTTGGTCTTTACCATGTTGTTGTTGATGAGGCATTTACCTTACTGCTAATTGTCATACGTCCAACGGAACATTGATGCCTTTGAGTTGTTCATACAAAGGCTCTATGGAATCTGAGTGAAATAGCTCTTAATTTGAGGATTTCAATTAAGACTTGGTGTGTCAATTAAATATTTTGAGTGTGCATTCAATATTTGTATTTAATTTAAAATTAATTGATATTAAGTAAAATGATTTTTATTATATTTAATTTATAAATTTTTTCTTTTTTTATTCGATGTGTGCATACTCATTATAAATATCAAAATTTGTTAAGTGAGTTAACATGTCCTCTTAAATGCAGACATGTGTAGTGGCTTTCCCACTTGACATTGAGGGCTTTTTTTTTTTTTTTTCAATTAAAGATAGGCTAATTTGATTTGTTGTATTAACCATTGTTAGAATTGTTGACTATTATGAAAATATTTTTATGATTTAGTGATCATTTTATTATTATAAAATGACATCCTAAACTTAGATTTGGAGCCGTGAGGTTCAAATCTCACCCCTATATTATAAAAAAAAATGGAATTATTAACTATCATGAGATTGAATTACATATCCTTCCCCAGCCAATAGATGAAGATGGAAGCATGCATATGGTATAATTAATTAAAATTTTAATATTTTAAATTAAAAATAAATTTTTTAAATTTTAAATTAAGTAAAAATAATTTTGGAAATAACCCACCTATGTAACTCATAATAAAATGTATTGAAAAAAGGATTGCAAACGAAACACCATATGGGAGTGGCAGAAAATTTTACTTTTGTCACTTGACTTGGATTTATATATTTTTTCTTGACTTCTTTTAACAAATTGTGTAATTTAATATGAAAACACTTGATGTTGCAGAAAGTGTTAATGGCAATTCACATTTCAGTTTTAAAAATGTTATATGAAATAAACATTTCAATGTTCTAAATTGTTTGAATTAATCTTTTTGAAATAGTTGATAATTACTAATTTATAATTTAAAGTATTTAATCTATTTAATTAAAACTAACAATACTTCATACAAACACCCTTTTCATTTGAGCTCAGATTGATTAAATGGCACAACTAATTAATGGGCAAAGTGCAGAGATTCAAGCCAGGAAAAGGGGGAAATTTTGTTGACAATTTCGCCTCTAAAATTTGTGTTTAGATTTAGCCTACACCGGCTGTTACCGTGATGGACTTGAAAACCCAACCCCAT